TTTTTTTTTTTTTTTTGCTTTACGCATGAATTAGTTAGCCAAAAGATTTCTATAAGTTAGCTCCTCAGTCAGAAGTAAGTAACTATTATGTCCTCTACACGGTTAAGACTACAAAAAGTGAACACAAACATACAACAAAGACCTTTGTCAGGTTTCATAACCATTTCCCTCTAATAACTAGCTCGAACAGAATCATAAATCAGTTAGTTTTGCTTCTGTCACAACAACTAATTGGTTCGTTTAACCATGCTTTTCGTTCCTCAGATTGTTGCGAGCTCTTTTTATTTTTATTTTTTAAGATTTCTTCCATACATTGCATAAATAAAATATAAATTTTTCACATTGACCAAAAGGTCAATTTTCTACCTTTTAAATAAAAATGAACTTGAATTTGTNTTTTTTTTTTTTTTTTTTTTTTTTTTTTTTTTTTTTTTGCTTTACGCATGAATTAGTTAGCCAAAAGATTTCTATAAGTTAGCTCCTCAGTCAGAAGTAAGTAACTATTATGTCCTCTACACGGTTAAGACTACGAAAAGTGAACACAAACATACAACAAAGACCTTTGTCAGGTTTCATAACCATTTCCCTCTAATAGCTAGCTCGAACAGAATCATAAATCAGTTAGTTTTGCTTCTGTCAGAACAACTAATTGGTTCGTTTAACCATGCTTTTCGTTCCTCAGACTGTTGCGAGCTCTTTTTATTTTTACTTTTTAAGATTTCTTCCATACATTGCATAAATAAAATATAAATTTTTCACATTGACCAAAAGGTCAATTTTCTACCTTTTAAATAAAAATGAACTTGAATTTGTAATAAGTTTTTGTAGTAGTTTCCCTATGTGTTACTAATATGTTTTTAGTCCTCACTTCTGTACAGTTCGTATTTTGTGACATAAACATATCTCTAACATTATACGAGTTCTTATTTGGTAGTCTCCTACTGTTTAGCCAACAGTGGCTAAACTGGTTTTAAGTTGTGACCTAAAGATATATTCGTCTCAAGTGTGTATCATGTGAAGGATGTGTTATGTTATTGTGTGTTATGTGTTAGGTTTATAAGTTGACTGAGAAGACATTTTCGCACAGCTATATAGCAATTAAATGAAAAGTCGCTGAAGCTTAATGGCGTACCACACTTTCCTTTCGGAGCCGCTCGTTCTTTGGTCTGTTTGTGCAGTGGCGGATCTAGGGGAGGGGACTGGGGGACCCGGGCTTCCCCTCTCCCCCTCCTCCCCGTTTTATTTTGGATAAAAAAAGAAGAAATCACAGAAGGAGGAAAAGCCGCCAGGTTAAGCAAAACAAATCCTGCCCCCACCCCTTAGCTCAAGGTCTGGATCCGCCACTGTTGTGTGCAGACTTGCCTCCGTAAATCAGTGTTCTTTAGGTTCTCTAAGTTCTTCAACGATAAATTTGGACGAAAAATCACTGATTGAAGTCGCGCCCTGCAGAACTGGTACCTTATTGTTTTTATGTCTTCAGTTCGTTTTATGATAGCGGTCGGGCAAAGACTTTGTTTCCAAAGAGAGGGCGTGGCCCACAAAGTAGTAAGCCCAACCAAAACCAAGTGCCAAGCACTCAAATTTTAAAACAACACTTCGCAAGAAGACCAAAATGCCGCAACTCTTTTTTGCGCATGTTTGGTTATTCATTATCCAGGTAACCACATGTCCTCTTAAAGGGCTTTTGTTCTCGTGTGTCTCGTTGCTTTTTGTATCATAGCTTCTTCAAAACGACCAGTGAAAATGCAAATTTTTTTCAATGTTTTCGAAATTTGACAACTGAGGACAAGAGAGAGAGAGAACAACAAGGGCATTTAAATGAGCGAAAGTGTTGCTGGGTATATAAAAGAAAAGAAAATTGGGAAGCTGTTCCTAAACATCCAATTTTTCAAGTCTTGTTTTTTTTTTTCTTTCACGCGCTCGGTAGATCGTTATTTATTTTGTTCTTAGAAATAATTTTAATTTCTCTCCGTTGTTTCTCTTTATCTCAATTACAAAACTGCCACCTAGCCTATGAAAAGACACCCTAGCTGGCTTAAGGCAAAAATTGTTGGAAGCCGCACAAGCTGAGCCGAGGCACCTCAACTGTCAATATTAACCAAGAAACTCTCAATATTGTTTTCAATTATCTTTATTATACTTATTCTTCTCAGCATTTAACAATCTAGCGTCTTTAACTTAGCTTATAGAGATCAAAAAAACATGCAAAAATCCCATGACAACGGATTTTTTCAATGATATGATTTCATTACAATTTAAATGTACATGCAGTCGACTCACGATAACGCAAACCCTCGCTAACTTAATCAACTTGAACCTCGCCCTAACTCGAACCAAATTGATCAATTCCCCCTGGATTTCTTTCATATTTTAGTGAAATTTTAACCACAGTAACTCAAGCCCGTTATCATTGGAACCTTTCGCGAACTCGAAGCTATTTTCGTTTCACTTCAGGTGATGCTCTAGATAATTTTACCTTCGATAGCTCGTACCATGTTTGTCAAAACATGACCCTCAAAAAGTAAATCGAATGGTCTCTGTAGAACGACATCGTTCTTTTCGAAACTTGCAAAGTTCCCAGTATCTGCACTTATACATTTTTACTTGACTTCTCTACAATAACATTTTTTGATTAAGATATACACTTTATGATTTAGAAATACAGTAATCACAGTTCCTCTTCTTATTAATTTCCGGCCATTTGTTCTCTTTACACGATAGTTCGAAACTTCTTCAAGTTCGAATTATCGGGAGGCGACTATATATAAATCTACACTCGAATCAGGATTGTTGTTTGAGCTCTTCACTATTATAGAGCGGTTTTCAATGGAGTATCTCAAACAAAAAAACCAACGTAATCATTTCTGACTAAACACAAAGGACGCAGACAAACCCCAAGCAAATACATGTGGCTGACGCAAAGAGCAGGAAAACGTGTGCGACCGATATACGATTGATTTTGGTTTTACTTCTTAGTGAAAGACAAAGTGGCGCCAGTTTCTTTAAGCCGAAGTGTAGAGGAATTACTCTTGACACACCAGTAAAAACCGCCCTAGATGTATCGAAAATTGTAAAAAAGTCTGTCAGACTTAAGATAAATTGATATCGTCTACGACATAGAGTCACTACAATAAACATAAGCGGAACAAATTGAGCGCGGTGGACATATCTCCTGTTGAAAAACTACTAACTCCTGTTGTCAAACTACTAACGTTTCTATGGCTTGGGAGTATAATTTAGCAGTTAGCTATAACAATGAAGATAAAAACTTACAATTAACGAATCGTTTGACGCAAACTTGGAAACGCTCCGTCCAAACTTTTAACCACATTTTGAAAGCTTTGATGGTAATTTAAACGCTGTAAATGTATTACTTCGAAGTCACCAAAGGTCATCTTATAAAGCTGTACTTTCTAATACTTGAAATATACTATTTTGAAGCAAAATATTGACATTATCAAGATCCCCGGGTAAACAAAGATTTTGCCAGTTACGAAATGTTCATGGCTCTTGTCTGAGAGAGAGGATGAGGACTAAGAAAGATAATCCGCCATTTAGGCTTTCTTCCTCCTAAGTTACCCTTAGATCACTCTTAACTATAAAGTCCCAGTAGGGTCTAAAGGTACTGATCCTATGTTGTGAGCTACGTTCACAGTGAAAGCCCTAATGGCTTTACACACGCGTTTTCATCTTCCACGAAAACATCTAAGCGACGCGCGTGGTAGCATTACCAGTGGAGGAACTGGGTACCGTGTCTTGAGATTAATTATTTTGAGAGTAAGGCCTATATGGGGATTAAATCCCTAACCCTTCATCCTCTCTCTTCCTCTTGATTCTAGTAAATTTCAAACATTGAAATACAGTTAAAAGAAACAGTCAAATTTCACCTTGAAAATACAAAAAACGATAAGAGTTTTAGAGTGCTATATAGAAGTGTTTCCGAGAAGATTGTAATTTGAATCACAACACAACACAGTGTCACTGCTGCATGGTTTCACTTCGCAAGTCACTCTTCAAATCACTCAAAATCAAATATTAATTAAAGTTCTATCGTACTCTGGAAGGGAAGAAGTTAATAGGCTTTGTTTGGTGTAGTCATGGATTCCACAGTACGTTTTCCAGTAGATTAGCATTAGAGACTCAGAGACCCGTTTTGGTTGAATCGAAAAGGGAGTATCCCTGAAGAATGTGTACCGTGTAGCATACCTGAGACTGGCACACTGTCCTGACAAACTGGGCATCCGTTTAAAAATTTGTTATGATCACATTTTCAGGTGGCTTTTCTTCTATTGTTACAACTCCTTCAGTTTGGGCTGTTGCATTTTCTGTGGTGATGTCTTTGGCCGTGGGATTAGCAGTCTGGTCACTTTGCAGAGTTTCTGGGCTTTCTGAGGTATTGCCACCATCTTTTTCCAGGTCGAGAGCGGACCTTTCACTCGAGTTTTCCTTTTTCTTGCCGTCTTCTTTTGCGTCCTTGAGCTCTTCGTCAAGATGAATTCCCTTGTTCTGAATTCCTAACTCGACATTATCACCAGTCACTGCCTGCTGAGCGCCGTCTGTTCCGTCTTTCTGGGGGGTATGATCGTCGTTGCTTCCCTTACTGTGTACTTCAGCGAAATCTTCAGTGTCTTCACTTCCAATTGGTACCATCCGGAGGCTTCTGTCAGCTGCTTTGTTGTGTCGATCTTTCTTGCCAGTGCTGTTCCGTTTCTCAGTACTGTCTCCTACCGAGGGGGGTCGGGCGATAGCGGGTCTCCAGCACAGCAACGACAGGTGAACTGGCATAATACACAAGCCGTGAAGAAGGCCAAGAACTACAATTCCAAAGAACATTCGGAAGAATATTCGGAAAATCTCCGAGGAGGCGAACGCCAGAACGACCATGCCAAGGAACGTACTGAATCCTGAAAACAAGCAAAAAGAAGAAGACAGGCACGTTGATACCTTAAGCAAAACCACACAAGAAAGTTACCACGGTATGCTTTAGTTCCTTTCACTAAAACTAGGCTAACTATTGATAAATAGAAGCAAGCCTTTGAGAAAGATTGATTATCTAACACTCAATGTCCCGTTTAGTCGCACAGAATCTTTTAAGAACTCATATTTTATACGGGTTTGTCGCTCATAGAATGAACTACCTCTTAACGTCAGTGAGTCTAACACCTTGTCAGTTTTCCGCAAGAAATTGTTTGCTTATTTTTACGATAAGTTCAGTGCTAATTTTTTATCGTGATTATCTTATTTTTTTAATATGAGTTGCGAGTAATTTTTAACTAGGTATACAATCATACAATGATACACTAAGGCGGCTTATATTAAGGAATCTTGTATTCTGTTTTATACTGTCCTCAAATTCATTGGATTGACTTGTTCAATGCAATGTAATTTGAAATTTGTTGTATTAAAGATTAAAGGTTAAAGATTAAAGATTAAAGATTAAAGATTAAAGAAGAAGAAAACTATGTTTTGTTTGTAATTCTTTGGTCTATCCAGATGCTCAGCAATCAAAGAAACTTCTTTGGGATGTTTCAACTGATTTTAAGATAAGTCCATCCCTCCTGGCTCTCGTTTTTAAGCTGAAATGAACAAAATGCTTACTCTGAATCATCCATTCAACCCAGAGATGCACAACTGAATATCACAGAATGTAGCCACAGAAGGTAGTCTCTAAGGAAATCCCATTCAAAAGGCAAGCCACAGAAACCGATCGTAAAAAGAGAAAAAAATATGTTCTTAGCTTAAAGTTCTCCATTGATGTTACTAGTTTCTGAACGCAGTAAAGAGTGCAAAAGTAAAAACCCCCGGTGTTTTCTGTGTGGTGGTTGTTTATTTTCTGGTGCAAGCCCCTTCTGTTACAATTCTGATTTATTTGCAGGTTACACTCAATAACATTTCAATACTTAATCCACACACCATCGCACTTACCTCCCATGAAGACACTCGCTCCCAGTGTGCTCAATGCATCCACTACTCGGTCATTGGCTGTAACCATGCTTGACGTTATGTAGGCATGTGCAATGTGCGCGCTGTAATCGACTGCGAACCCAATAGCCATTACAAGGTTGATCATGGACACGGAGTTAAGGGACACATCCCAGATAACCATCAGTCCAAATAACTCACATATTAGGGCTGCAAAGTTGAGGACCACGATGAACGTTACGGTACAGTCCACCAAGAAGGGACTTGTGACGACTAGTACCGCTATGCCCGCAATTATCAGGTTCCTTAAGGTTTCCCTTGATGTTATAGCGTACTGTTCAAAGAAAATAAAAAATCGAGTAATTGGGAAGGCATCGAGTTCGGTTTTCTCTGCGATGTCATCTCGGAGAGTGAGCATGGCGTTTTTCTGGAAGGTGGAGCTGCCGTCATTCTTCATGAAACCCAGGACGCGAGAAGCTACCAGTTTGTTGCCATCCTCGGAGAACTTCAAGTCTTGATTGAAATAAGCATAATCGGGAATGCTGAGGAATGCTTTCAATTCAGGTAAAAAGCCTTGACCGGTGATGTTTTTCCCAGAACTTTTGGCATACTGGGAAAATATGTCTATCCAGGAGAGGGATCGGTTAAGGTAATGTTTATTTTCTGTGATAATGTTTGTCAGCTCTCTGATCTGTTTCTGGATGGGGTCCTGCTCATAATCTACTTCACCACTCTCCACGATGCTCACTTGGATGGACAGCACAAAATGCTTTTCTTCCGCGGACAAAAATCGTCTCAAGTAAGAATCATCTTTTGCCAGGATTCGTCTGTCAAACGATTCATCCACTTGGGTGACCCCGTATATCCCAGCACTAAGCAACGCCAGCGACAAGAATATAACCACAACTTTTGTTACTGGGTTTGTCAACAATGTACCCCACAACTTCATGGCCCGATTTGACGTCTGTGGAACAGGTTCATCCCATTCTGGCCCTCCCTCTTTCGGCCGAGGCGCAAGGCAGAATGGTAAGCAATCTCTGCGGCCTGACTTTATTCTCTTCACGTCAAATGACATAATGGCCACGAAGTATGTGACAATCATAAGGAAGGAGAAGGTCACTGTCAGCGCAGCGTAGATACAGAAATACCTAAATTGAAGGAAGTGTTCATTCAAAGTTAATTATGAAACTCGATGAAACTGTACCTCTGATTAACTTTAAGATTTTGGCGTAACGCATCCACAAACAAGCATTACACATGACTTTTGCGTTTTTTATGTACCATGTCTTGTACCATGTGGTCATTTTAGATTTTAGAACGGTTCACATTTTTGTGTGGGATTTCCCACACCTTGTCAAGGCCAGTGAAATTTTTCTGTTTATTATTTGCAAACAGCCACGAGAGAAACTGTTATGTACCGAGGAGAAGATACCTTGACATTGATTAAACAAATTGTCCCAACTACTTTAGAGGAAATGTATGGAAAATGATTAGGAGAATTGAATGTTGATATTTTGTTTCGCCGATAAAAGCAATCGATTTATTTGGACAAATGACAAAAGCGATTTAATCAAACAACAAATTTATTGTCTTACTTTATCGCTGGAAATGATGTAGAAGTGCTAACTGCAAACGCCACCAAATCTGTCATTGTCGTCATGGTAACAGTTGCTCCTGCATGCTTCATAACGGTTTTAATAGTTTGGATCATTGTCATTTCACGTGGCTGTCGATCAAGCTCATCCACCATGATAAACATGTCATCGATGCCGATTCCCAGAACCAAGAACGGTAAGACTCCAACGATACTGACGAATGGTACCCGAAACCACATGGCGACACCAAACCCAGCTAGAATACCCAGGGCCACTGCAAACACTCCTGCGTTAGCGAGCAAGGAGTGACCGGTCAGCGGATTCAAGAACTTTCCAAGCATGAAACTAGCAAAGCTGATCATGAGAGTGAAAGTGATTGAAACCAGTGTAATGTCAGATCCGCTGCTTTCGGCAATAGCATCGTCCAGGCTTCTCTCACTTGAGTAGTGGACTTTGAAGCAAGAAAGTTCGTCCTCTAACGATGCCATTTTGTTGATGAAATTCTTCTCCCATTTCAGAACTTTTTCGTTCTCGTCTTCGTCACTTGGGTCACGCATGGAATACACCATCTGTAATGCTTTAGCGCTGGCTATGCTTCCACGATCTCGTTTGACACTGCCAAACATGCGGTTGAAGCTGAACCGGAAGGGACGTCCATTGCGCATGAGAGCAGTGCCGCTTAACGCTTTGTCTAGGTCCTGTCGAATCTCATTTAGGCTTTTACCGTCTAGCTTACTTTCATTGAACTGCACAAATTCCAGCGGGCTGACCATCATACAATCGTCTTGTGACTTGGATTTGTTCCCTGAGAGCGTGACGCAGAAGTCGAGATAAGATTCCACTTCCATAACTGCGTTGTGAACCCTGAAGGCCTGCTTGAGACACTCAGGATCAAGAACATTGGCACGATCAGAGGATGCCTCCAACATGACGATTTCCTCTCGAATTTTCACTCGGAAGTATTTTTCGGCTGTGTCTAAGTCATCTAACGCCCGGCTGGTTTGAGGGATGAACAGATTTACAGTTCTGTTTTCTGTTTGGAACCAAATGAATCCCACGGAACAGACACTAACAAACACGATACATATTTGGATTGTTATCAGTGGATGCTTTGCAATTCCTCCACCATACCAAGCGAAGAAGCGCTCCACAAGACGCAAATACCAGCTACAGAACGACGACCACAGGCGACATGGATTAAATTGGCGTGGAAAGCAGCAACTGCAATTTCAAAAATAATACTAATATCAGAAAACGCCTACTGGATTTGTCATCAACTACAAATAAATATGCGAATGAAGCCTTAAACCTTATCGATCCCAGTAAAACCTGTGACTAAGACCCAAATTTTGTGGCATCGTTTACTATACTGTTTCTATTAAGCAGTACTTTAGTACTGCTTAATAGTAAAGTACTGCTTAATAAAACTATTTACGATTGATTAGCACTTTTATGCTGTACAAGGTGGTTTCAACTTGCGAATTTGTGGATTAAACTTAGTGTCAGACCTTTACATGGAAGATTTATAACAGTACTTTCATGTGATACTGCTATTGCTCTGTTTAAAGTGAACTATCCGAACATGAAGATGTTGATGAAATCCTAGTGAACAAGCTTCCATGTGGAACTATCTATCATGCTGTGCAAGGATGTTTAAACAATTTAAGAGCGTAAATAAAATATAAGTCTTGGCTACTGACGCTGCAATTTCTAATTATACTGTGTTTTGTTAAATTCGCTTGTTAGGAATTTGGCCCCTTTCTGGTGGGTTCAACAGGTAATGACTTCAACTTAATATTATCTCAACATTTCTGTGATTGGTAATAATTTAGCCTGCAGAACAGGCGGATTTGTGGGGCAGAGAGCGAAACGCGATACACGAGCGCGGACCGCGACCACAGGCGCGAAGCGCGAGTGTCTTTTTTTTCGTCTCGCGCTTCGCGCTTGTGGTCGCGCTCCGCGCTCGTGTATCGCGTTTCGCTCTCTACCCCGCTAATCTGCCTGTCCTGCAGGCTAGTAATAATTCAACAATTTCGAAAAAGCGTCGAAGCTATAATTTGAAACAACGATATTTTGTATTACCTGCTGGCTAATTTAACTCTACTGGAAGTCAAATTTCTTTGGAACGAAGTTATTCATCAACCAGAATTTTCAAAATGACATCGCCACCGTATGCATGCCCCTTCAGAGTCTGGAATCCACATGTACAAAGTGGCAAAAATGCATTGTCTTTTTCCTTATTCTGTGGTTGACGTTTGGTGTATTGAAAAATAGTAAGAAAAACAATGGTAACCTTGGCAACCAAGGTCCCTAGCAACAGCTCTGTGCTACGCTTCCGCATTCACCTTTTCTTCAAATTAGTTTACTTCCTTGTCTTAAACACCCCTAAGAAAAGTTTGCATTTGTCGCTTTTATAACTTTTTCTTCTCGGATTTCTAAATATTACGACCGTTTTCAATTATTTAAGATGGTGATAAACAAAATTTCTGTATCATTGTTTAGCAATCACGCTTGCAGGTAGAAAGTGAGGGTTTTTTTCTGTTCGATTTACCCCGATTGCTGTCCGTCAGCACAAAACGACTGTTGAACGCGATTGGACGAAGGCTAGCGGCAGGGCGACTTTTCGTCGTTCGTTTTTCGTTTTTGCGTCCACATCCTAATTAAAATGAAGGTTACTATAAACTAATCTGCGAGCCAAATACTGACTGACGAATTTCAATCACTGCGTAATAACTTTAACATAGATTAATCAGTGTGCACGTTTGTTTTGCATGACGATATCCATAAAAAAATGAAAATCTTTCGGTTTAAAAATATTTTTTTGGTTTCAGGAGATCGATGATAAAAATATATTATACATAGGTACCTCTTCAAGTTTTGGTTATTCGTTGTAGTTATCTCGTCTGATGCACAGCAAATAATTTCTTCGTTTCTTGAAGCCATCGAGAAATCGTTGCTACCCCAATGTTGTTAGCTTAACAAACCCACGAACTGATAAGTCTCTTTCATCGCAGTTCGACGGCCAGCTCATTTCAAAACTCTTGGCTAACCTATTGCATTCAGATCATAATCGACTTTTAGAAACCAAAAACTAGGAAGTCGAACAGCTTTTGGAAACTGTAAGTTAGAAGATTTAACGTCTTTCACGAGTCTATATATGATTGTTTGGATGTTCTGAATATTTTAAGCATCAACTCGATTGAATTGCTAATTGCTTTAGAAACCGTTTCTTATTGGATAGTAGTCATGGCTTGAAACCGACAGTGCAATGACAGCATTAATTTTCACTAACAACTACATGTAAAGAAAGTTCCAATACGTGACCAGTGTCAAGTGAAAGCTTTTGAGTTGCACCTGCGTGCGGTGATGTTGGTTTTAAATGTTTTGATAGTTTCAAATGATTTTTGTGAAGTTGTAAGTTTGGAACTTTAGATCTCTTTAAAATGAAACCGGGTATAAGCCGCGGAGCGTCTCGAGATTTGACTAATTGATTACTAAGGAGACCTTGTTTTGTAAGAGTCAAATTCGCTTCGCTTATACACGTATAAGAAATATATTGAAACCAGAAAGAACACTCGCGTGATTATAGAGCTAAAAGAGATAATCCATTAATTAGTTTCAAAGGGTTAACTAAGTTCTGCTAATACAATTCTTCAAATATATTAGCAGAACTTAGTTAACCCTTTGAAACTTTGAAGAGAACTCGCCCAGTTTTCCTCGAACTTCAAACCATCTAATTTCAGAGGTTCTGAAACTGATCGACTTAAATTGTTTACTCACATGAGTGTCTCCTGACATTTTCTTGATCAGAAGCAAATCATCATAAATACAGAAATTGACAGCGCAGTCGCTGAAATTCAAGTATTTTTTTTCTGCATTCTTCCCGTCTGTAAAATACTCTCACCGAATAAGATATCGAACTTTGCTTGAGTTATTTTTACGCTGAATACGATATGCGTTTTGTCTTGTTGAGTGTAACAGTCCGCGCGTGTGGTTCCCACGTGTAGTCTAAAAATGTTGAACGTTGAAAGTGGTACGCTACGTAGCGTTGCGTGACATAGAGAGCGCCTACAGGTATCATGCCACTGCAACTGAAACAAACAAATGTCATGACAGATTTCCTCGTTTCGTTTTATTCTTTTTCCTGATAAAGATCTCGTGGGATTGCGACGACAGTTTGAACGGCGGTCTCTTAGCAACGACCTCCCGTTCTACTTCCGCGTCCATCAAAACAAAACTATAACTTTCTAGTTTCGAATATCAGTAATGCATGGCGCAGCATTTCATTCACATTGTACCCTATTATCATCATAACACTTCGCTTCCTTGTATATAAACCTTCAGTAAAAAGCCTTTAAGAGGCGCCCTCTGTAATTTTCAACTATGGCCATTTGGACCAGAAAAAATCAAATTCCTCAAACTTTCTCAGAGGAATGGTCTAGATAAGTGATTCACAAAAATATAACTTTCAGTTCAATTCGATTCGTATTTTAGCGCTGGGGCCACCATCTTGGTTTTGCCCCTCTGAGA